GATCAGAATGCCACGGTAAAAACGTTATTCGGAAATACATGTTATGTGTCCTTTGACCAAAACTTTCATTGTCAGATTCTATCGGTATTAATCAAGGGTAGATGTTGGCTCCTTATTATGATGTGATTTAAAGTGACATATTGGAAGAATTAGTAAATACTTGCTCAACTGGATTAAGTCATGAATCCTTTCCACGGTCAAAGAAGGTTAAACATTAGTAGTGGGATAATTCGTTTATATACTGATATGACTTAAACATTTCGACATTCCCATGTGTCATTTAGGCTCAAATGATGGGTTAAAGAACCTGTAGATGCGACCTGGTGATTATTTCTTTGTAAAAGACAAATCTGTATAAAGTTTTAATTTCAAAATTGATAAGTTTAATTTGTCATTTTTATCATATTACCGATTTGATTCTATATATATATATATATGATTCGAAAGCATTTTCGGACTTAGTGTGGATATTTCGTCATTTAGAATCGCGAGATTTATTCGCAGATATAGACGTTTAACACGTAGCCACGTAGTCAATAGTGACACAGTAAGTTAATCAATTATCCGGAAGAAGATATATTGATCAAGCTGGAGCGATGAATGACGGCGAATTTTAAATCCGATTTAATCAATCGATGTAAGCATGTGAGAGTAACTCATTAAACTGCTTTCCGATTCTGGTAATATGGGCAATAAGAACACCCGCTGCATCACAGGAAAATTAAACAGAAACAGCACTGATACTTCCAAAGTAGGTCAAGTTCACTCATTTGAACTAACTTGGTTGCCTTTTATTTAAACATGCTACAGGCCCAGAATCAGCACCCCGGGCCTTTTGGTTATTAAGAAGAAGTTGTTTGATATCTAAGCACATTTCATTGTGTGATCATGAAAGATGGCACAGATCATTCGCAGGAACAAAATGGTAGTAATTTATCACATCATGTTACAAGCTCAATATCTATATCATAAAATATTTTGGTTATTGAGAAGAATTTTGAAGATGTGAACACTTTAGCCCCTGTTACCTTATGTGTGAGTTAAGGTCATTCATTTGAACAAGCCATGAAACTTTTTTTCCTAAAACATCATATCAGCATCAGGACCTTTTGGTTAGGAAATTTTTATCAAAGGTTTAAACATTTTCTAATACACTATGTAGTCCTTCATGCCAGCATTTGGCAGACCCAATATCAATATCATAGGGTCGAATATTTGGCATATCACTAAGATATGAATGCGACATTGACAAATTTACCAAATCATCCAAGGAGTGCAAGCGATAAATATAGTCTCTTGAATGGGTTTTCATTCCATTTGCTTTTTTGTTTGTTTTGTTTTTTGTTTATTTTGTTTTATGGAACGAGTCTTAAACTGTTCTATTTTTGCAAGCTTTGTGTGAAAAGAAACTTCAGGACAAGTATCCTAACTTCTTATAAGATGACAGTTTAAGCATGTTTAGCCTATCTCGATATTGGAAAGACGAAAGTTATCATAGTTAACTTATGTTAATTGGTGATAAATTTTCCACTTTACATACAAAATACATAGAAAACAAAACACTATAATGAATTGAGAGTGTCAAATATATTTAACAACTAAGGAGAATAACCAGATCTATTAGACATGTTAAGTCGTTATTATACAAGGATTTCTGTCGCTGTACTCGGCGGTGTGTTGACGGAAATCGCAATAAAATCAATTATATCAATATTTATGGGTGACACAATTGATATATCAGATCAACGATATTAAATAGTATTATTAAACACTGACGCATTCACTGAATTCTGATAATCTCGGTATGAGACAGTGTTTTTAAAGACTGTCATAATGTAAAAAAATATGTAACATTACATTTGTAAACTAGGACAAGTATATACAGCGATTCATGTTTTGTAATGTTGCCATGGCAAATAAAACAACAAGTGGTCAGTTTAATTTCGATTGCTAAACGTGTAAAGTGTACTATTTTGACCTGTCGTTCTACTACTAATCAGCGAAAAGGGAAACTCGCACAACTCGGTTGTGACGTCACCAGTTCGACGACTGGTAGCAACCGACATGGAGAGAATTGGCGAGATCGAGAAACAGCTATGCTGTGTAACATTAGGTTGCAAATGGATGTTTACTAGTTTTGAGAAATTTGATAATTCGGACGATAACATTATGTAGACGGTAAACAGTCATACGTTATTTGTCAGAAGTGATAAATTTAAATATTGGTTGACGGTAAGTGTTTTATAAATGAAGGATTCATTATAAATTCTAGAGATAAGTTGGATAATAAAAAGTATAATATTTACAGTCACCAGATTCATAAATTATGTTAACACACATTAATCTACATTGCATCAGTGTGTTCAGACACTCGCATACAGTACATCGTTGGCATACTGAAAAGGGGAAAAATCCTTTCAATATGTATGTAGCAATTTTCATATAACCTAGAGAAGTAAGCGTTAAAGGAATATATCACTTCAGTAGCTAAAAGCTCGCATATCGAGCTATTTTATAGGACTGTTTCGACAGTGTTGAGCTTATGAATTAAAAGATGTGGGCTACCCATGTCGAGGCGACTGCCTTTGAGTCAAAAGTGCATTTCAGATAAATCACAATATCTCGGAAATGGAACTAACTACGGCGTTTATTGGTTACTGTTGCCATGGTGTGTAACATAAATTCTGAAAATTTCCAAAATTGAAACCAGTATCAATATTATTCGAAAAAATGTGCAGGTGAAACTTTTTCCAGAGTTTGGGTTATTAAACCTGACACCTGGATGGAAACTGTATACGTTAAAATGAACAGTGATATGTGAGATCAGTGTAAAATTCACGGATTATTATGTAAATCTTGGTGTATTCAGTTGACTGATTATGTGAATAATAATTTATCCCCGGTGAGATAAATCTAATACCACGTATGATTTTGTAATAGTTTTAAAGATTCACAAAGGAATAATGTTTTCATATACACGACAAAAGACGGTGGGAAATTTCTTTATATTTGTTCTAATTTATTCAGTGAAGCTGACAACACATACAACACCATCTTGTTAGTTCCTGGTCTAAAACTCACCAGTATATTTAATAAAGTTGTAAATAAAAGTACCCTTGTCTGGCCCCTCACGACAAATTCTGCCTGTATGTTTAAAGATAGTTGAATACAGAAACGAAAGTTTGCAACTAATTAATAAAAAAATTAACAGCTCTTTTCCATGACAATTATGTGGTGTTCGTAGCAACAGCTTCTTAAAAACCTACTTTCACCTTCTGACCAAAAGCTCATTTAGATATCCCATCATACCTGCTATCAAAATATGAATAAAAATGATCGTAGGCATCCAAATTTAGGCCCGTAGCATTACTAACGAGTCCTAAAAGGATGAAAAAGCTGTATGATGCAGTTTAATTAATTGTTTCATTATACTGTATCTAATTCTAAAAATTAAAAGGTGCTATTCACTTGTATGTTTTTGTACAATCCTAACTGATTAATTAACTTTATCCTTATCTTATAAGAGAAAACGGGGTTGTCCATTGAATATTTGCACCCAATATAATCCCTTCCAATAATCGGCAAGTTTCTGGTTTGAATCAACCCGATTTAGCGAGCTGACGACAGCGTGTGTAAGCCCACAATGTAATATGTGTTCGACACAGGCTAGCGATACGTCGTTGTATGTATAAAGTAAAACGGGCATATGAAGGACTTTCGCAATAAATAACCAGTCGACAGAGGGACTCAATCACTCGACGAGTCCCTGTGATACCGCGCTTTGTCGAATTACATTAAAACAGAAAAGCAAAACAGCTAACACTCTCCTTTGGGTTCTGGTTCATATCAACAAGTATCCTGTATTATCAACTCAGTTCAGGCAGTTTTACAATTGGCATTCCATTTCTACGGGAAAATCAGCTTTTTACAGAATTTTCCCAACAGGACGGATCTATGAAAGGATTGGTTATATCTGCGGATCATATAAATATATAATTTATGATTCTTGACTTTTCCTCTTTTCAACCTTAACACAAAAATTTAATGTATGCATGTATTTATTGGCACTATATAGATCCCAATCTGGCATTAGCCCAACATCGCAGTAAACAGCATGACAATGTCAAATTTAGTACTGGATACTCACCTTAGGAATTAAGTGTTGTATTTCATCTATGCAACAAACAATGTAATAAGATAAATACTGTTGTTACATCTTAAAATAGATAAGCACTTTGGCAATCTAATGAAAACGTTATATCACATTTTTTGAACTCACATAAAATTGATAGGATTATTCTATAATTATATAGATATATTATATGCTATAGATTTGAAATTAACACGCAATTAAAAACCTGCAAAAATTATATCTAAAAACAGACGTTGTAATTATTGTATTACAGTCATGCTCAATGTCTATTCAAAATAGTATACAGGAAATAATTCTAACAGGGAAAAACTGCTTTGTTATCATAATTTTTAAAAATACATAATATAATATGATATGATATGATAAAATATAATATAATAAAATGTAATATAATCGATCTATATGTCGAGAATTTTCGGTTTTAAACTCTATAAACTTTTCTTTGCCGTATATTTAGCATAACATTTAAGCAAATTGTACATTTGAAACATAACAGTATGCATAAAGTCATAGATAACATAACAGTATACATAAAGTCATTGGGACTGATAGCTTGAGTTGAGTTATAAAATGTCAAGTATATTGTGACGTTATTTATTTTTTCTGAGTCGACTAAACTAATCTAAGCATCGGACAAATCAGTATTTTACAAGATGATAAAGAAAGTATTGTTTTGTAGAAAACGTGCGTCAAAACTTAAGTGTCATATATGTTCAATCAATGTTTTCTTTATATTCTCATATAAACTAATTTTCCATTTTTATATGTATATTATAAGAACTATATATTTTAAGTATGTTGTATAATCGATTGAATTTTTTCCTTACAAGATTCTACTTACTTGCAGAGGTTGTGCATGATTTGGTGAAGAACTGTATATTCGAATGTGTTGAGAGGGACACGGTGATAATAAAACAAGGCGACAAGGGAGACTGGTGAGTGTAACAGTACCTAGAACAGACATTCAAATAATATACACACATAGATCTATACATTGTTAAATATCACTCGTGCTGCTTACATCATTCATTCACATTTGTTTTTTTTCTATTCTGGTTCGAAAAATAAAGAGAATGGCAGGCTGTGACATAAAGAAATAAACAGGAACGGCTTAATATATGTGTAACGCACTTATTGCAATATTTTAATAAGAAATTTCATATTTTATAAATCTGGAAGTTTCTTCATCATTCTCAACGGCCTCGTATCCATACACATCAACACAACATTCGGATCTGATGATGACAATCAGGAGGATAGTGGTGGAGGAGGGGAAAATAAAGAGGAGAACAAAAAAGCCGAAGAGAAAAAACTCGACAGATCCAAATATGGCAATTACGTCGGTAAAATAGGTAAATATGTTTGATAGTATAAGTCAACTAGATAATGATACATTTGTACTGCGAGTTAATTACATACATACATGTACTTGAATATGTGGAGTCATTCTATTGTATGATATTTCGGTTGCAGTTTAAATTTTTCTCCAAAATCTAGTATCTGTATTATTAACTATCTATTAGAAAAGAGTTGTACAAAAACACACAGGTGCCTTGCATTTCTCAATACCTTTAGAATACACTATTGTCAACTAAGATATAAAATGTCTCTTGTTAGTGATGCTAAAGGCATATTACTTTGAAATTTAGGAGTTGACTCTAAAAAATATGGCCGAAAGATCATATCTAAGACATTTAATTATCTGGTACATGATACGTTCAGAACCAGGAAAAAGTTTCGGAGAACTTGCTTTAATCAATGCGGACTGTGTACGGAATGCGACGATTATTGCCGATGAGACAACAGACCTTGTTGTGGTGAATAGAGATCTCTATGATCGCTCGCTCCACTACTTCCAAGCCAAGGAGTTTGAGGAAAGGAAATCTTTCGTAGAAGGTAACCCGATGTTCTCTAACTGGCAGCCAAAGTACAAAAAGCAGATGGCTATGAGTCTACGGAAAGAGAAGCTGACCTTCGAAGCTCCTATACTCCGACAAGGGACACAGGTGGATGGACTGTGTTTCCTCCTCAGGTAGTCTTCCACTTTTCTTCATTCAAATCACCCTCTATATGTAAAGTCTCACTTTATTTCACTCAGAATCAAATGATTTATCAGTTTTTGTGAATCAATGTCAGGACATACAGATCATCATTATTGTTTTACATTAGCAGTATGTCGTCTTGGACAACTTATTGGTGAATTATCCGTGTCCTGTTAAAATAGAAAAAAAGTTAAAAGACTGGAAAACACGACATGTAAAACATTAGCGTTTTCATTTCTTCTTATACTTTACATAGATAGGAATTGTGACGTCATGCATAACAGTTTAATAATGAGTACATATTGACACGAGAGATAGTATAGTTAGCTGTAAAACTGTGCTGCTAAGATTTTAAGGGCATCTATGCTTTCTTCTCTTCCATACCTATCAAAATCAGCACGGTATCTTTTCTAATATTAGGGTTTCGAAGAAACAGTTCTGCATAACGTTACCTAAAGGATATATTATCTACATATATACGTACATATATGTAGATATATATTATCTATGCTGCAAATACTTATTGTGTTCGCCATAATTTAATCTAAAACTGTATTTTGAATCGTACAAATCATTCCGGTCTCAATTTTGAATCAGAGGCCAAGCCAGAATTATTGCAGACAATTCGATGCATGCCACCCAATACCCGACTTACTTTCCCCTGACAGACATTCAGGATTTACAGAAGGTAGAAGCCAGAGAATCACTACGCAGGTATGTCTATATATCACACCACACAGATATAGTTTATATCACAAACATCACACCACACAGATATAGTATAACGTCACGTGAACATCATACTTAACAAATAATCACGTTATGATCATCACTCTTCAGATGTATGCGTGACATTATGAACACTACACTATGCGATCAAGGATGGTAACTGATAACAAGTGTTTCATGGTGTTCGGTTTAGTTTAAAAGACAATTTGTGCCATTTTTCTGTATTTTTTGTGTATTTAATTTTTTTTTCATTTTTATATGTTTTCCACGATCCTCAGACTCTTCGAGGCATTAACACTAGCTTATGTATTAGACGGGAACATCTTGTGATTTAGATTGTTTCAATGTCAGTGTATTAGTAAAAGGTGTTAAAGGGAATCTATAATTTAGCAACATGTTGTCAATGTCATATTTTACGATATAAATTTCTCAATAGCAAGTGTCAGCGGCATATTCCATTACATTAGTCATTACGTTCTGAACAACAATAAAATTCCAGAATCCTATTAGGTATTTTAGCGTTTATAAACGCCATTACGAATTGGAGGATCTATTGGTATTTTTGAATTAATATTTTAAGCCCATAATTGGTTGGAAATTCAATGTTCGATATCAGTTACGCTGTGACTACATGGAAATTGAAATATAACGATGGAACCTTTGACAATTTAATGCCCGGAAAACGCCGTCAAATTGTGATAGCTGACAAACACAAGCTAAGTGGCATTATTCATCACATATATTTTTCTCGTGTTGCGCAGTAGAGACGAAAACTTATTTCCGTTAGAGTACCCTGGCCCAATATTTTACTGTCTCGATTCCAGGGAGTTGAGCATGCCGTCTCCTAAGCCGGATGATTATAAACATTTTGTCAGGCAAAAATCTCCAACCCAGGAGACGAAGTGCGGAAAGAAATCGCCCCACAGCCATCGACACGTCGAAATATGCCTGATAGGAGCATTGGAAATTATAGGTATTGTATAGATATAGATAGTGAATAGAATAAAAACAATTACTTGTGTGGATTTTGGCATATATTGTATTTTCTTCAGGCTGGTAATGTCAATAGAATAGAAGTTCTTTTATCACAACCAGTGGAAGTTTAGAGTATGTCATTTCGGTCACCTCCATCAAATGACTAGTGTGGAGCATACTAGCGCTGATAGACATAGTGTAATCTCTAATTGCAAATTCTGAAACAGGTGGCCGAAAACCTATTTTTCTATCTTTTATTTTAATAAAACATGCAAAGGTGCAGAAATGTGTGAAGCTGAAGATGTGCTGTAATACAATGTATAATATAAACTTAAATGTGGAGGATAATCTGTTGAAGGAAGATTAAAAAAAAAAGATATTGCCTTGCAAACTAATATTCATAACGTGAAAATGACCCACTATACATTACTATACAACGATTTATTGGAAAGGTTGTTTTTTCAAACTTTTTTGTTATACAGAGTTTTGAAACAAACAGGTAAAATGTGTAAAGATATTAATCGGACATTGATTATCTCCCTTTTTCAAATAGTAAACATATCTGTTGCAGTATTTTCATACCCTCGGATCGAAAGACATGGGGACATATTTTTTTTGTGTTGTCTGTTTGTTTGGCTGTTGCTTTAACCTTACTCATAACTATTGCATATTCATATATGGCATGTATAATCCCTGTGACAAGACCTTTCCAGTGGTACCAAAATGTTTGACCATGTGTCCATGACCTTTGACCTACATTTGAAAAACTTAAACATTGGCCATAACTATTGCACTGAAAGACATAAGTGTTTCAAAAAATATGCATGCAAATGTCACAAACCTTTGACAGCGCAGTTTTATTGTCCCACTTCAGAATTTTGTTGCAACCGGGGGCATAGTGTTTCATAAACACGACTTATTCTTGCGGAAACTCACTAGCTTCTCCGTATAATTCATTCTTATTTGATAGGTGACTTGGAACTGATAACTGGTCTGTCAACGTACGCTCAAACTGTTATCTGTACGCAAGAGGCCGAGGTTTATGTTTTGGACCAGAAGAACTATGATAGACTGATAGAGAAACGAAATCCGCAAGTAATTGATATGATGAAAAGACTTTTGATGGAGAAGTATAAACTACGGTTGTCATGGATACAGGACAAAGAACTTCCCTTCATCAGGTATCTTTTGTACAAACTAGAGGAAAAGGAAAGACAAAAACGACAAAGATATTTACAACGAAATGTCACTGAGAAAGTGGCAAATTGGCCTTCTGACAGCGCCCGTCGAGGACCATTTATCGACATGTATGGCCCAGGTAGCGTTTTCTATTCAATACGTATGAGAGAAAAACAAAAAAAACTGGAAAGAATGAGATTTTGCCGTCAAACTGCCAAAGAGAAGGCGGATCCACCATCCAATCTCAATTTGAGTAGTCCTGGTATGATTACACAAATACAGCTTTCGAGTATGGAGCCAGGTGAGAACTTCCAGCACAACATAGACGAAGACGGTTTTAGACTGACCTCAGGAAGCCAGCTGGTCTGTGATACTGCGAAAGATTTCGTAGAAGCCGCGGATGCCTCTCCGGAGGACTTCTGCGATTTCGAAACCAGTGAAGATGCTCTTTCAAACTTGGAACAGCGAATAGAAGCATGGCATACAAGTCTACCATCACATGATTCCAGACGCCAATGCAAAAAGACCGTGAAGTTACATAGACTTTTGTTAGAGGTAAAATTCACAACTGTTTATATTTTAAGTCTTTAATTTCAAGATGTGTTTCATGTACAACAATATATTTTCTATTTCAAAGGATAACTTCATACTTTGCGGTTTGTATCGCATTCAGAACAAAGAACTTCCTCTTGGCAGGCAAAGCCTATCGTCAAGAGAATAACCAATTCTTTATTTATTTATTATTTTTTTTACTTTCCTTGTAATAATTTTAGTATGTAATAATTTAGGTATTTTAGTATCTGTCCTCCTTCGTCATTGATTAGGAAATATTGTTTCACAAATAGGATATTGTATTTATTTGTTATGTATTAGACAATTACGGTAATTTTATACTGTTTTTTATAGGATAGCAGGAAACCGTTGCCCGGAAAGAAGGTGTACCTTCGGCCTAAGACTAGGCATAAGGCAAATATTATTCAGGATCTGAAAAATGAGCAAACGACTCAAAGTCAGGATTTGTCCCATATTTACAGGTATAGCTTAATCACATCTTCATCAAATCTTTGTCCATTTGACATTTTGCACATGTGTATTTTATAGAACTGTAAAATTGGACATGTGATTCGGGAAGTGGAAGTCTTTTCATTGAGAACGTATCGTTACTTAGCAACCAACCGTAAACATTCCACAAGGCGAAAATGTCCTTTTTTACAGTGTCTACTCCCTAATTTTGTCAAATAAAAAAGAAATATTTGGAATAGTTACTAATGGTCTTTGAACTTAACCTTAAAGCTTTTTTTCACCGCGAGTTTAATTTTGTTACCTGTTTTTTTTATTGGAATTGCAATACTGAACCATACATGTTGTGAAATGATCTACTTTACTATCTTTAGTTATATGTTGTATATAATCTGTTTATCGATTTACCGATTTATTGATTTAAGTATGAAGTCTTGTATCATCTTTTTGCTCTACAGGGAAAGTGTCCCTACATCAAACAACAAGTCGGAGATTTTCATTACCGAAGTAATTGTTTGTAGATTTATCTGCCCGTGTATATGTCCTTGTCCTGGTTATGTTCACCAAACTGTTTAATTTATTAAACGCATGTTGTCGTTGTGTAATGTTCACATTAAGTTCACATTATGATGACGTTGTTTGTTCTCCCTGTCAGTCCACCAATCGTCGACGTCCGTGCACATGTCGTGACCGTGTGTTCACAGCACGAGTCGGACAAGGCCCCTGATACAGGTGTGGCATTACGTCCTGTAATTACGACGACAGCAGTCGGACGCCTCTCTAGATAAATGATTAATGTCGTTATGTCGATATTCAGATGAAAACCTACATGCTGCAAATTTTATTTATCAATTTCAGTAACTTAAATGTCGTCATACTTGTAAAACATATTGTTCCTTTAAATGAATGATCATGCGCAAACAGCTTTCATACGAGTTATTTTATAAGGACGAAAGGACCGACTATCATTGGGTTTCTCTTTGAGATCGTAGATATTACCCGTAGCCAATATAGGCATATTTTATCGAAATATAAGAAATGGGGTGTAAGCAGACTTTCGTCATAACTTGTTTTTATATCACATTTACATGGAAGCATCTGGTCTTAAATTAAGAGTGTTTTTTTTTTAAATTTGAAAGCAATTACTTTCAGAGAAATGACACAAACTGTTATCGCAGCTTAACGCGTTGACGTAATTCCTGTGAGGTGACGCAGCTCGGTCTCGTCAAGTAAAAATAATACATGAATATATCTTCTATAATTTTGCTGGGTGTTATCGAAGTAACATTTCAAATAACAATTACCTGCTGCTTCCATCGATATCTAGACCGGTAGGTTTTGATTTCACTAATCGATTTTTGGAACGGAATCTAGATTGACGTGAAAAAGCGCTTTGGCTTGCGAGATATTAGTGTTAACTGTCCATGCTGATAATAGGATTGTGATAAAAAAAATTTCAGAACTCGCACGAAACGCCGGTCTACACTACTTCGGAAATCCGTATCTAAATGTGATAACCACTTAATTACTGATACAGGACGATAGCTGTCGTGTTTTTCGGTCACATCACAATTTCCGCATGATTATTAAATAGAGACTAGTAGCTTCTTATCGCTTCGAAATAGGTTAATTCATTGCCAGTTTATTGCGGTTGCTACACATACAATATTATACCAAATGGTCCATGGATATTCTTATTTCCTTAGTCTTATTAAAGTCTTTTTTCCTATTAATCATCGTTTAGTTGGTGCAGGTGCAGCGAAAATGTAATGTAGTGAAATGTAAATACAATTTCGGTGAAAATGTGGTTTTCATAGAAAATACCGGTAAAATGATTATCGTTTACTGTTTGTAACAAGTGAAATAAAATGAACATGGGGAAAAAGAACTAAATTTCAATTGAATATTTTTTTTCTAAAAGTAATTAAAAAAATTAAAACGGTAGCCAGTGAGTTTCAAAATGACATTTTGAAAACTCTAATAACAAAATATCATGAAGTGACGATAACTGCCTATCAGACATGTTAATACGGATTGGTAGCGTCCGAGTGCTGTCGTGTATTATATGTAGATATCATAAGTAGTGATTTATTTCCTTTATTTATCTCTGTCGCCTCTTCTCCAATGCACAACTCACCTGTGTCTTGCACGTGCCACCTTTGTCATAACATCTTCACCAAGTTTAGTCTGTGTGACTTTTTTTCGGACAGATGACGTAGATTTAATACATCTATGTTGGCATGTTATTAACACGCAATAAAACCAGCATGTTAACATAAGTAACGCACTGGTCCAATCACGTGTCTTTATTGATGCCCTCGTGACATCAAACTGCTTTCTCGAATCCTGCAAAAACTCTTTTCGATGTCTTTCACATAAAGTATAGAACAAAAAACTGTTAAAAAAGAAACTGAAACCAAATATCAAAGGTTAATCTCAAATCCAGATATTCAAGTTATCTCCGTTTTTTTGCAATTTTATTTTATAATATAATAAAGATAGAATCCCTTCTAGAATGCCAGCTTCCATATCCAGGTCAACACAAGAAGTTCACATCAACGTCAGATGAAAGACATGTGATGTGACGAGTTTATTTCCGTTAAATCTCTATAATTGTGCACAGCTTCTAGTTCTGTTGGACCAAAAAGCGCTTTAAATGAAGTTTCAAGAATAATGGGTCAGCTGTTTTGCGAATCTTTATCGTATTTCATTCTGCATGTATATTACGAGAAAGCGAATGGAATTACCTTTTGTATATCTACAATCAAGCACAACTCGCCTTAACAATGCAACTGGGCCAAAATTTCAACCCTGTATTCTCTTCCACTTCGAAACTGATGACTTAAACTTTAACTCAGTCAGTACAGAAGAAGATGTAAAACAAATGCTGACTTTTAAGACCTGAAGGTTGTCTATACAAGAAAGGTTAATGAAACGTTTTATTTTCAAACGCCATGTCGCATAAAAGAAACAAATACATTGAACCGATGAAATACATTTCCATTTATATAAATTCATTACATGATTTAAGAATTTCCTCAATGGCCTTTACCGTCACCTCATCTCAACGGAACTTAAACTTCATATCTATATATAACCCTGTTAGTTACATAGAATCGGTTCTGTTGTCGTACCTATCCGTGATCGATCGTATGATTATAGGGTTACGGGCCTAGTTTCATTAAAATCCGTGCTTATTCACCCAAGTTATCGTGGTCACAAGAAAAAGATGACGCATGCCCAAAGACATACGAAGAATGATGACTAAATATCACTATGGCATAGGTTCAGGAGAACTAAAATAGATGAAAGTTAAAATGATGTGATATCGTCACAATATTAAACGAGTTAGTGAAGTGATAACGTCACAGTATTAACCGGGTTAGTGAAGTGATATCTTCACAGTATTGACCGAATTAGTGAAGTGATATCGTCACAATGTTAACCGACTTAGTGAAGTGATATCGTCACATTTATAACCGAAATAGTGTAGTTATATTCTAACAGTATTAACCGAGTTAGTGAAGTGATATCGTCACAGTATTAACCGACTTAATGAAGTGATATAGTCACATTTATAACAGAATTAGTGTAGTTATATTGTCACAATGTTAACCGAGTTAGTGAAGTGATATCGTCACAGTATTAACCGACTTAGTGAAGTGATATCGTTACATTTATAACCGAAATAGTATAGTTATATTCTAACAGTATTAACCGAATTAGTGAAGTGATATCGTCACAATGTTAACCGAGTTAGTGAAGTGATATCGTCACAACGTTAACCGAGTTAGTGAAGTGATAACGTCACAGTATTAACCGACTTAGTGAAGTGATATCTTCACAGTATTGACCGAATTAGTGAAGTGATATCGTCACAATGTTAACCGACTTAGTGAAGTGATATCGTCACATTTATAACCGAAATAGTGTAGTTATATTCTAACAGTATTAACCGACTTAGTGAAGTGATATAGTCACATTTATAACAGAATTAGTGTAGTTATATTGTCACAATATTAACCGACTTAGTGAAGTGATAACGGCACAATATTAACCGGGTTAGTGATATCGTCACAATGTGACCCGAGTTAGTGAAGTGATATCGTCACAGTATTAACCGACTTAGTGAAGTGATATCGTCACATTTATAACCGAAATAGTATAGTTATATTCTAACAGTATTAACCGAGTTAGTGAAGTGATAACATCACAGTATTTACCGAATTAGTGAAGTGATATCGTCACAATGTTAAACGAGTTAGTGAAGTGATATCGTCACAACGTAAACCGAGTTAGTGAAGTGACATCGCCACAGTATTAACCGAGTTAGTGAAGTGATATCGTCACAATGTTAACCGAGTTAGTGAAGTGATATCGTTACGGTATTAACCGACTTAGTGAAGTGATATCGTCACAGTATTAACCGACTTAGTGAAGTGATATCGCCACAGTATTAACTGAGTTAGTGAAGTGATATCGTCACAATGTTAACCGAGTTAGTGAAGTGATATCGTCACAGTATTAACCGACTTAGTGAAGTGATATCGTCACAGTATTAACCGAGTTAGTGAAGTGATATCGCCACAGTATTAACCGAGTTAGTGAAGTGATATCGTCACAATGTTAACCGAGTTAGTGAAGTGATATCGTCACAGTATTAACCAACTTAGTGAAGTGATATCGTCACATTTATAACCGAAATAGTATAGTTATATTCTAACAGTATTAACCGAATTAGTGAAGTGATATCGTCACAATGTTAACCGAGTTAGTGAAGTGATATCGTCACAACGTTAACCGAGTTAGTGAAGTGATAACGTCACAGTATTAACCGACTTAGTGAAGTGATATCTTCACAGTATTGACCGAATTAGTGAAGTGATATCGTCACAATGTTAACCGACTTAGTGAAGTGATATCGTCACATTTATAACCGAAATAGTGTAGTTATATTCTGACTTAGTGAAGTGATATAGTCACATTTATAACAGAATTAGTGTAGTTATATTGTCACAATATTAACTTAGTGAAGTGATAACGGCACAATATTAACCGGGTTTGATATCGTCACAATGTGACCCGAGTTAGTGAAGTGATATCGTCACAGTATTAACCGACTTAGTGAAGTGATATATCGTCACAGTAGTGATTAACGAATTAGTGAAGTGATATCGTCACAATGTTAAACGAGTTAGTGAAGTGATATCGTCACAACGTTAACCGAGTTAGTGAAGTGATATCGTCACAGTATTAACCGACTTAGTGAAGTGATCGTCACAGTATTGAGTTAGTGAAGTGATATCGTCACAGTATTAACCGAGTTAGTGAAGTGATATCGTCACAATGTTAACCGAGTTAGTGAAGTGATATCGTTACGGTATTAACCGACTTAGTGAAGTGATATCGTCACAGTATTAACCGACTTAGTGAAGTGATATCGCCACAGTATTAACTGAGTTAGTGAAGTGATATCGTCACAATGTTAACCGAGTTAGTGAAGTGATATCGTCACAGTATTAACCGACTTAGTGAAGTGATATCGTCACAGTATTAACCGAGTTAGTGAAGTGATATCGCCACAGTATTAACCGAGTTAGTGAAGTGATATCGTCACAATGTTAACCGAGTTAGTGAAGTGATATCGTCACAGTATTAACAGACTTAGTGAAGTGATATCGTCACAATGTTAACCGAGTTAGTGAAGTGATTTCGTCAGTTTTAACAGCATTAGTGTGATAATATCAGCACAGTTAGTGTGGTGGATATATACCTATACACTTTGTTTTATAGTAGTGCTGCTGTTTAATCACGGTCATTCTGTTTAATGCAGTTGTTCAATTACTCGTAATTACACTAACATCACCACTTTAGAAGAAATCTGTATATTTATGATTCTGTAATATCTCTGTACTGTTGAACTTCCTAAGGTTGATTATATGCACTTTAACATACTCTTTCATACGCAAATGTCATGTCAAATGTATTTGATATTCTTAAAACAAATCTTCCATAGCTATAGACATGTATATATAGAAAGATAAGCTAAGTCATTATGAATTAACAAACTATGAATAGAACGGCAAATTGGCTTACCATGTCTATAGGATTCCTCAGATAAGACGTGCAGATATTAATTTGTATGTACGTTACGTTACAGCCTTCTGTGTCAGCCGGAGAAACCAATGGGTACAGAGACCTCAGTCTAGCCGATCGCCGTCCGTCAGTCAGTCCGTCCGCCGACGAAGGGTATATAATCAATGTCATTTCCTATCTTAATTTAGTCTTCGAGGATTTTATATAGGATCTGATTTCCGGTTCATTTGAGAGTTGCATATATCAAAGCATGCGTGTTGTTCACTCGTTTAATATCACATGATATAAAACCTGATTTTGTTACTTGTTATATCACATGATCAGACTTTTTGGCAGATATTACAGAAAGGTTCTTTCCTGGTCAAATCTGTAGTAATCTCAGCTATGATACATGTTTCTATAGTCTGGACAGTGCCGATCAGCTGATATTTGCTGAATCAACACATCCTAACCTTTTAAATGAAATCAGTTTTGTAGAATAATAGAACTCTATAAATATTTATAATTGTTTTCGCGCCATTCTGTTGATATACTGTAGTGGCTTCTCATGTAACCACGCAATAAAATCAAATTTTGTTTAAACAATCTGAATATAATCAAACACATACATTGGTAATACTATATCACATTCTGGAACTGTTTACCAATACGGGCGGTCTGCGTACTTTGTACCAGTTTTCATAATATGTCGCCAAAGTTATTTAAGAGGCAGTTTTAAATTTCTCTGAAATTCAGTACTTTTATTAAATACCCTGGTAACATTTAAACACTCCCTCTGTACATTTACACATATCAAATTTTCCGTTCAATATTTGGTGACAATAGTAAAGAGCAAGTTAGATTTATTCCGTGTTAAAGGGATTTTATCGACATTGAAATAACTCTCTTATTTACCGGCTTAAGACACGTTCTACATTCTCCGTATATAGCAAAACTACATCATGGATAACTTAAATGGTAAAGGATTTTCATTCGTCTATACACAAGTGCTATATACGAGCAAAAAAAAAGGACAATACTGTTGTAATATGTATTCAACACATTGTCTAGTTATTGATGGGTCGCTAAGAGTATCGTATGTTCCATTGTGACGTAAGTGTGGTCCTGCTATATATATTTGAATGAACTAGACTTCAAGATTTTTCTATTGGTCACGTGAATATAATTTTGCTAGTCTCTGTATGATCTTTATAAATTCGCAACGTCCCAGAAAGCAAAACTAGTTCTGTTATCTGATATTATTAATGATCCACCGTTACGTTAATGATACTACTTTATCTACAATATACAATTAGGAAACGGAAATTGCAAATTAACATTAGTTTTCTAAATTTCAAATATTTATCATTTACTCATTCGTGAAATCATGTCGTTACGATCATATCTTTCAAACATGGTTCTCAATATAAAGAACAGATTACTGTCATTCCGTCACAGAATACCATATGACGTCATCATCTGATTTGGAAAGATGTTGTATAAATGTAGTTCTGTTCAGGTATAATTGTAGGATATAATTTCTGTTTTAAATTGCAGCCAAAATCAGCCAGACAATACACGGTTTCAGAGTACGAAGAACTGAAGGAGGAGCTTCGCCAGAAACAACGGGCATTTAAATCTTTATTGTGGAGACCCAAAGTCTAAAAATAGAAATACAGGAGATAGTATATTCACTAACACTTCCTGTTCTAAAGTCTTCTTCAATTCATAACACAATTTTACTTAACTATACATTTGATACAAAAATTAAATACCTCTTTCTTTTTACCAAAAGTATCAGTCACCATTAATTGGCAGCACAATCGCTATACTTGTACATGATCAATTCGTGGAATACTTGTGAGATTAGAGCTACCAATTTTACGGTTGCCAAGACAACGAATTAATGGGAATGTGATACAAAATGTACTTTTTAATAGAAGATAAAACAGACATACATGTACGTTTTATTGTAGCTATAAATTATTTACAGTACAATAAGTTTCTATTCTGATATCAGTGTTACCAGTGTGTATTTACTATTCTAGTGATGTCAGTATATTTATTGAACAATTAGTGAAGTTACTATAAGCATTTAAAAACAAACACATAATATTACAGTCTGTACTTGGTATTTTTAGAGAGGTGAAACACATATTTTTTTCTCGATTCTGAAGTATTGCTGCTACTATTGTGTAAACAAATTCTAGTATTAGACCATCCTGTATAGTAGATGACCCCTTGTACCACAAAATTAATAAAAGAACCATTTTTCCTGCCTTCAGTCTGATGTTAACATACCGTGCCTTCATTTTGGATCATGTCTTATCTTATCCTGGGTAGGTAAATCTACGTTTTTTTTTGCCACTGTGCGATTTCCTTGTCTTGCTGTAGGATTGAGATCCGGGTCTCAACCTAGGGTGGGCACGGGGAATTCTCCTGTCAGGACAATAATATGACGTCAGAGTGAGAATCCACCGACGTCACAACAACAGTTCAAACATGTCAACAATGCGAAGCATTGAAAAAAACCAAACCACAAAAGAGTGCCTTACAAAGCCAGCAGGATAAGAGAAAAATAACCATTCATCCCCTGGTTGGTGAGATCTCAGCTCCCAGGAAAATTGGTTGAAGTTGCAACTCCAAAGGCCTGAAAGATTATACCAATATCACGCTATTGGCGAGAAGAGCTACACGTGCGATTTGCACGTTCTGAAAACAATCCAAGTGACGTCATTGACGTAACGCGGAAGTGAAAATAATTTAATGAGGTCACACACATACGCTAGTTCTTCTGCTGCCGAAATCTTGTATTATCCTCAAAACTGAAAATCCTCTATTATCATCAACACAGAAACTAAAGTGAACATGTTCAAACATGGTAAGAGGTTTGGCAGGCGATGTGTTTGACTTCATTAATTTGTTTTGCTCAGATCTAACGGCCAATTCCACAAGTTCAGTACACAAGGCCTACATTTTATACAAGAATTGATCAAATGCATTAAGCGTCTGAGGTACGAACCTCATTGTTGTTCATATTCCATCCACGTTTGTTGTTTACACACAATACACTTCGGCTTGCACTCGAACAATGAAAACAGGGCAAGGGAAAGAACTCCCAGCTCATTCCAAACGACTTATAACCTACAATTCAGTAAGATTTATTTGCACCTTTGACAACAAGGAGGGTGTCCGGAAAAAGTACACCAAAATAACTATACAAATACTTAGAAAAGCAAAATTTACCCGAGGGAGATAAGAAATGATGACGCAGAAAAAAAGCCAATGTACAGGTAGAAAAACCTTACTCCTTACTGCAACAGGATGACAAATCAACGAATATTAAGAGACGATCGCATATCTCAGGAGGAAGTTCTTATGACGTCACAGTCCAGACGACGGACATCACACGGCGGTAACTTCGCTGGTTCTATGTTAAGTCTGTGATATCTAAAATAATCCCAACAAATGAGGTGATCAACAAATGAAATCAAAATACATGTACTGACACTGCTGAAAGGTTAAACATGTTGATAATAGATATACATTTAAATGGGAGATAAAATCCATCCCATACAAAACAATAAATTATTTTATAGAAGATAATTATCAACTGCCAAATTGGAAATTTTGAATAAATTTAACTTAAAAAAATAAAATTTGTGCAAAAAATTTCAATTCACAGAAACAATTTAAAGTTCTAAATCAAGATATTGTCACTGACATTGGTATTGGATATTGAACCCACAAGAAAACTTTACAACAAATTATAAATGGTTTTCTTTGCTACCAATGAAAACCTATGAAATTTAAGCAAAGTAAACCCAATAAAGTTTAAAGTCTCTGGAGAAACATTTGTACTCCTTTACAATGCACAATTGTCTCATTTTCTATATTACATCAAGTACACAAAGGGCTGGGATTTAAGTTAATTTTATTAAGAAAGGTGTTTCTTACTAAGATATGATAAGTGACTCTAACCACAAAACAGTTTAAGCTACTATTAAGTTTGTATATTTTTACCATTTTTCATTATCAAACGTAAATTGCAGACCGGCCGGCTTTGATGCTGAAACTATAATAGACTATAGTAGACTTAAAAAATATACAGTAAGCGGTATAATAGGCTGTGAAAGTCTCTTTGTCTGAAAAGAAAATCAAGAAAATATCATCATATCAACATAATCATAATCCAAAATCATATTCCTTAAAACTAGAGCAAAATATGATCAAAAGAAAGATTCACACGGAGAATCCAGAAAAAAGTACAAGGAGAATAAGACTAGGTGTTCCGGAAGAGTAAGCGTATTCTGCTTCATCGACGACATCCGTCATGTAAACCTTGGTCAATCCAAGAAAGTAATGACACTTTCTCAAAGGAGAAAATAAGAACAAGGTATACAACAACGGCAAACTGACGAGGATCGAACACGTCCAGCTTCATATCGCACAAAGAAATAGAATATTTCACAATGAGATCATGGTTATGACGACCATGTAACTTTTCCATAGTTTACATCAACCTGCATCTTTTGAAAACTCTGTGTTACGTATTTGTTCGTCACTGACGATTTCTTGCACTGGTTTAACGTTTTAATGATATCACTAATCCAAGGTATTGCATATAGGATGTCGGCATTAATTTTGAAAATTTGTAAAAACTGATCTAAAGAATGAAAGGTTCAATTGTCAGAATTAATATCAAACCACTCTCAAACTCAATAATTGTTAGCCTGGAAATCTTTGATGAGCTTTTAGAATGCTTTTCTATCTACCAAGCCTTATGACTTCAGAATTGTTCAGTTTATCTTATGCCTTAAAACATCATTTCAAAATAGATTGCGGCAGTTAGATCCACATGAATGCATATATATCTTTACATAGTTGCACAGCTTATTTAAATCTATAGTTGACTCAAAGATCAAACTCCGTTTGCCTGAGAACTGAAGTAGTCTTCTTATCAACACTTGCACCATGTCTTTTTGCATAATTATTCAACTCTAAAATACACTCATCGAGTGACCTTTTTGACTTATCCAATATCAAACCAGTATTAGGAGATTATAACGTCTAATTTCAGTAGGAAGGACTTCAGCAGTTTTATAAAATGGATAAAAATATATTTGCTAATATCCATGTTACCTGTTGGTAAAATTGTTCAAGCAACATAATGTAACAAATTTATTGTGTCGCAAATCATTCAATGCAAGATAACCAAATCCAAAGTTTAACAGATTACAAAAATCATTGAATTCATTTTGAACAACGCGTTAGTGAAATATTTTAGACCATTTAATTAGAAAAAAATGAATTAAACGATGGCATTGAATGGGTCCGTCACTGTATACATAGATCACTTGTCAACTTACATTGTTTTTATATAAGTACGAATAAGGAATGGAGAGTGCGCGAGGAAGATAAAGATATTATTTTAACAGATCTAATGTAACAATAGTGTTCACTGAGTGTTTTGCTATATTTAGCGATAAAATACTGAAAGTGCGAACGTCGTAATTAATTATGTTTCCCAAAAGTCGTAATTTATCCGAAATGCACACTGACATAAGGATAGCCCTATCTGTGATGTCATAAATTAAACACTGTCAAAACGCTCTATGAAAATATCCTAGGAAGCTTCAATTTGTGTTCAATATGCGAGGTTGGTGTTTCGGAGTTCACGTAATACATTCTGTTGACACTTGCGTCTGTAGGTTATGACAAAAATAATAATAATAAAATATTTTATTACAGTGTCACTTATTGATCGACATTAAAATACAAAACACAATTGTGAAATGTACAAGTAACAGCGATCAATACCCAGCCATTATCATTTGATTTACGAGACACTATAAAACACTAAAACTCGTAAGACCAATCATAATCGATTAACACATACACAAAGAAATGACATTTGACCAGTTCAATTAGGAAATTATCTCCTGTTAATTAGACAAACAATTAACTGTGTGCGAGTGTCTGAACACACATGTGGATGCTATCTACATTAATTTGTTTTCATAATCGTCAATCTATTAACTGTAGATATTATACTCTTTATTTTCCAACTGGTCTCTAGAAAATATGATGTACACTAAATATATACAAGGAATTAACTATATCTTTGATTTATATAACAAAATGTATGATAACTTCGTTCAAAATATTCCAGTACTACGTGTGCTCCTACGAACATAGATCTATATATCAGTCCACAGTACTATATTCAACTTATACAACCCCCGCGTAGGGTTGCTAATGTGTGAGCAAAGGGTCTGCAAGTTGAAGCGCTTGAAAAACGAGGTCAGGTAAGGAAACGTTTCCACAGCGCTCCTAAATAATTTTTGTTGGGTTTTTTTATACCCCTTCGACGCGTTCAAATCATTTCCCGCCTGCACCTGTGGCTGAATACTGCACATTTATTTAAAACACTTCCACACAGTTTTGCTAGTTGGAGAAAATTATGACATTTCATATTTGAAATGCGGTATCAATGGCATGTACAAACATAATTTAATGTTGTGCATGCCGACTTTTTAACAAAGAATCAATTCTAAATAGCAGTTTTAATTAATTGACTGTAAAATTCAGAAATATATTTGTTTATAGTCGACTTTTCATGTGGACACGGAGGCTGGACGGCTGTAAGCACTGGGGCTCTAAGG